TCTCTCTCTCTCTCTCTCTCTCTCTCTCTCTCTCTCTCTCTCTTTCTCTCTCTCTCTCTCTCCCTTTCCTGTTTTCTTCCTCATCTTCACCTTCATCAACTTCTCTATCATATCCATATTCTTCTTCTCCTTCACCAATGAATTCATCTTTGCTGTCTTCTTCTATACCTTCATACTCTTCTTCATCAAACTCTTCTTTCTCAGTGTCCTCATCTTCTTCCTCCTCCTCTTCATCATAGCATCAACCTTTGTATCTGAATCAGGGACTTCCTGGTTCTCTTTGGTGAAATCAGCCACGGGAGGAGCTTGAGGACACTCTGTTGGTAATTATTCAGGTTAATGACCTCACAGTCAACAGATTTGAGATTTTTAGATCATCCAAGGTTTTCAGAGGTCTCAGGGTGCTGATATCTTTCCATACATTTCCACTTAGATCTAGATGTGTGAGCTTTAAAAGTGCCTTTCTCAACATGTCCAGACCTCTAGATATTCTGCTATCTCTGAGCTCAAGCCTTTTTATTTTAGTACCATGAGGAGATTTGAACCTGACACCAAGCCTACACTAATTAAAATGAGGAACTCTAAGTTTACAAATTCTACTGTTGACCTCTAGAGTTTCCCATCATTTGATTTTCAGTTGTCCAAGGCAAACCCCATAACAGCTGGTTCCTCATCTCTTGGTGGATCTTCTTCCTCGTGTCCATGGTCCCTTTGTGCCTTGTCTTCATATTTAACTGCCTATGGTGGAAGTGAAGATGGAAGTGGTGTCCTCCACTGTGTGGCAAGGGCTGTGGGAGGAGTTGGCTGTCAGTCTGGTCTGGAACAGCATAGGGCATGTAGTTGCCCCTCTGCTGGTGAGCATGGCCCCTGGGCCTCCTTCTTCTATTCCATGGGTTCTTAGGCTTGATCTCTTGCAAACTGAGTCATATTTGTTGGTTTTTCTTCTTTATGTATTTTAGGCTGTATTGTTTTTTCAACTTGTTGTAGAACCCTGAAATTTACTCTTCTGCTAGGTCTTGTCTAATGGTGACACTTTCTGCTGTGCTTTTAATGGAGTGACTCTTTTGCTTCCAGAATTTCCATTGGCTTTTCCAGTGCCAGTCTTGTGAATGGTTCCCGGCTAATACTGGCCAGGATGGCAGCAGCAGCAGTGTCCCAGCTAGGTGACAGCAGTAGACTGACCAGCTCCTTTTCCCACTTCAATCCACACTCCATTCCCATGTGACCTAGCCTCCCAGAGTGCCATCTGGGAGATGTGCTCTGGAAAACACACTTAACAATGGATCCTGGGTCAGACAGTCGTCTGGAGCACTGTAGTGGCACCCTAAGTCCTTTCCCTCAATTATATTCATGATACACAACACAGCTTCTAATTTCCCATCTAACCCAGAGGGTCCCATTTCCTAAACACAAGGAGGACCTTTCCCTTTCTATTTGGCAAATGGCATCGCTAGGTCTCATCTTTTTGTCTGTAGATACTTCTTCAACCTCAGCAGAAGCGAGCTCTCCACATGGTAAGTCCCCATTGCGCTATTTAAAATGAAGAGATGGGTTTCTTATTTATTAGGTTTATTTCAAAACTGAATCTGCTTAATGATCATATTGACCACAAAATAAATATATGAAAAAAATGCCCTCAGTGTCATTTGGTAGAATTTAAATCATTCTGTTCTTTGGATTTACACACAGATGCCTCTTCAGTCACAGCAGAGAAGATGTCTGGTAATCCTTTCAGCTTATGTTAAACACAGTCAGGGCTTTCCTGCTTTCTTTTGGCAAATGAAACTAGCTATGTCTTTTCTGTTCTTTGTAGATACTTTTACAGCCTTAGCAGAACCGACTTTTCTAAGTGGTAAGTCCCCATTGTTACCTTTAAACTTACATAATGGGTGTCTTGTTTGTGGTGTTGCATTTATAAAACGAGCCTGTTTAATGAGTCCCTTATCATCAAATAAAGATGAATACAAAGGCATTCATTTAAAGCATCATCTTCTCTGGTTTGCACACAGATGCTGCTGGGATCTCTGGTCATCTTTTCAGCCTGCTGTGATTCTTAACTGAAACACAACTATAGCTTTTGCTCTTTCTGTTTGGGAATGCAGCTTCTGTGCCCCGATCTTTGTGTATAACATAAGCCCGATGTACACAGAAACCCCACATCCTCTCCACAGAGATGGTGGTGTTCCTGGTTCCTTTACTCGGCTGTAGACCCCTAAGTGGCCCTTCCACTGCAGGTGCCTTCTGCCCAAGCCCAAATCTTGATCAGATGAACCTGAGGGAGGCCGGGCAATGGGTCCACATCTCATTTGGTTGTGTGTGTTGTTTCAAGTTACGCTTCAACCCAGCCAGCACACCAGAACACACACACACACACACACACACACACACACACACACACACACACACCAAATAGGTGATGACAGTGATTCTATTTATTTGTTCTTTTGTTTTGCACCATGCTGTTGGTCAAACCAAAGCATTTTTCTCCATTTCCCACTCCAGGCCTCTTCTTCCCTGGGCATGCTCCTTGCTCACTGCAGCCCCTGGGAAAGCCACTTTCTGAGTAATAGTCAGCCAAACAGAAACAGGCCCATAACAACAAGTCCTATTTCTCCAGGAGAAGTCAGAAGAGAGGACATGGGTGGCAAGAGAGGCCAGTCAGCTCCCCTAGAGCGCAACAGGCCTCCATTGCTTACAACACTGAGCACTGTGATGGCAGCAGGTAGCTGCTGGGGACAGCAAGAACAGTCTATCAGAGCCTCAGGTGCAGAACCAGGAGGAGAATGTAGGAGTGATCTCTTATTTTTGGAGGAAAATGAGTCACAGAGAAGAAACTCATTTGCTTAAGATCACTGAGCAAGATAAAAACCAGGTGTCGCAACTCTCATCCAAGGTCCTTCCAATGCCCGGTGTTTTCAGGAAAATCCTGATTCCTGTGACAGTTCTGTCTGCAGTAATAAGCCCTCTGCTGCTCTGTCTGTCATTAATGTGACCATTAACCCTTGCCTTCCTTCTTTTGTAGTTCACCCTGAGTCCAGCATGAATGCAACTCCCACAACTTATGACCCTGAAATACAGAATAGTTAGAAAGAACGTGGGCCCTGAGGCTTGAAGGTTTAAGCTGAGAATGACCTGGTCCTCTTACCCTGAGGCTGCCTCTGAAGTCTCCATTTCTTTCAATACTAAAGCAATGATAAAAATTTCCCCAGATTAGTTTTTGTAAGAATCAGGGGAGTAGATTATCTGGCATGCTGGAGATGTGCACCATGAAAATGTTCTTCAGTTGTGTTCCAAAACATCAGCTTCTCACATACCCTGCCATACCAACATGCAAAACACACACAATACATGCATACTGCCCTGGAACAGGCTTATTATTGTAGACCTGAAGTCTAAGAATTTCAATGAAGTCACATTTTAATCCCTTCTTTCTCACTGCTTTTTTTTTTTCAGCCACAGTTCCAACTTTGATAAAAGTGACCCTGCCACCTGGTAATGATCACCGTGCTTGTTGATGGAGCAGAGCTCCATTCTCTAATTTATGTGACCACATTTCATCTCCTCATCTGTTGCTAACGTTCCTACCTGGCTTCCCTCTGTATCGTTTACTATACTAGTCCATCTTTTTTCAGTTAAAACTGCACCCAAGGACCTTGATCCTCCTCTTTATTCTCAGCCCTTATAAAAATGTTGCCTAATGCCTGATATGGTGACGTACACCTTTATTGCCAACACTCAGGAGGCAGAAGCATGTGAGTTTCTGTGAATTTGAATCAGCTTAGTCTACATAAGAAGTTCCAGGGGCTAGCCAGGACCAAGTAGTGAGACCTTGTCTCAAAAAAAATCATCTATACAATTGAATGGTTTTTATTATTTTTTCCTTTAAAAATCGATGTGCAAAGTTCTCCCTTTTGAGCATCTAACAAATTGTTTTACTCTTGGAGAATAAAACAAAACATAACAATATTTGTTATATTTTGATGCCAAGAGAGTAAAATGTCATGGATAGCATTTCTGTGCTCAAGCCAATGGATTGGGGTCTGAAATAACAGAAAGCATTTCCTCTTCAGCTTGAAGCTGAAATGTGAGCCTGTGAGGGTGAGCATTTGTAAACCTCTAACATTTTACATTGATGGGGCAATTGTTAACTGGCATTTTTGTTTCTTTCTACTCTCTAAAATGACAAGGTGTCTATTGATACTGTGAGGGTCACATTTCTTTTTCACTTAGGTTTTTTTACCCCTTACAGGAAGAGAGTTACCAGCCTGTAGGTACATTACATGCTGACATATGCACAGTGTTGATCACACATGCTTGAAATTCACCTCCAAGATCTCGATCAGAAGATACCCACATGTATTCATAAGTCACACTTTTCTCCTTCCTGGCGCTTGATGCAAGCCGGGACCTGACATGTGCCACCAAGCTGCATCCTCGGCCTATTCTCCTAGCAACACAAGTACCTTGCTTTTGGTATTCTAATACCAATTAGGCCAAGACAGGGCAGCTATCCTAGACTATCACACTATAGTTAGAACTGATGCCTGCAGATTTAATATTCTCTAAGGCTTTTCTTTGAACCAAAAAGTGCAGGGCTGACTAATTACTACAGAGACAAATCACCTGGTACCTATCTCTGAGCATGACACCTCGCAGATACAGTAATACAGTCATGCCTCCCACAAAGGATGTCCCAGTCAACAGTGGTGCTCACATATCCATAGACATCAGTGACTCCTTGCTCCGTAGACTAGTGCCTAGTGACCCCACAGCTGGTTTTGTGTGTGTAACAACCAAGTCTCCTATCCGCACATTTCTCAGAATGTATCCTCACGATTAAGCAACATAGTTGTACAGGTTTTGCTTTTTATTGTTTTCTATTCAAATTTAAACTTTTTTGAAGTACTCATACGGGGCAGTGCCCTGTAGATGAGCAGCAAGGTTATTGCCGGTATACGGCTCCTGGAGAATTCTGCGGTGCTCAGATCTGTGTATAAGGGTAGAACAGCTAAATTACATAATACAGTTTTGTTGTCAAAGTGTTGCCTCTTAAGGATAGTAGTATTAGGGGTAACTTAGGGGCACAGAGAAGGATCTCACTGCAAATGTCACCCTCAGTGCCTACTATGGAAGCCTGACCTAAACTGACTTCTCTTGCTCCGTAGACTTGACTCTGCGCCTGGTAGGCGGGCGAAACCGCTGTGAGGGCCGGTTGGAGGTGCAGCACCAGGGGATGTGGGGAACCGTATGCGACGATCGCTGGAACATCAAGAATGCCCGAGTTGTGTGCCGCCTCCTGGGCTGTGGCCAGGCGCTGGGTGCCCCTGGCAGAAGCCACTTTGGGGCAGGCACAGGCCCCATCCTGATGAATGAAGTGCGCTGTTCTGGCAGAGAGGACTCTCTGGAGAGCTGTGCCCATGCTGGCTGGATAAGGCACAACTGCCACCACTATGAGGATGCGAGTGTGGTCTGTGCAGGTAGGGGCTCCTGTGCAGGTATGGGCCTAGGCCTGTAAAAGTCCCCCAGGCTCTGCCTCAGCACCACCCATCCTTAAGGCATTCAACATTTGGCCAAGACATCCTATTGTAGGATAAAGAGCTTATTGGTAGTGACATTTTGGTCATTGGCCTGACTTTGTTAATGAGCTTGCTCTAATCCCAGCTCAGTGAAATATTTGTCAGAAATATAGCTGAAGAATTATGAGATCCAAAGAAGGGTGTGACAGTGTCATAGGACCATTCAAAGCTTAGCAATTGCTGTGGCCAGGCACAGTTTATCCTGTTACTTTCTCAGTCTCTGAGCTCACCAAAGGCCCCATCCTGGAGACACTGTGTAACCTTCAGAGTCTAAAACACACCCCACAGTGTCCTAGCTTCCCTGTGTCCTTTGCATCAAAGATGTTGCCTGTATCTTTCCTCGGTCAGCTATGTCGGTCTTGGCATTCTGACTACCGCCTGTATGGCACAGTACCTCCTTCTAATCATTCTAAGTTAGCCCCAAACTGGCCCGTGCAAATTTCAGAGAGTTGGGGAATTCTAAGACTTGAAGAAACCCGAGTTCACCTTGTCTATTCTGCTGCTGCTTTTATTACAGGTGAACACACCATGGCCGTTGCTTTTACCTTGTATAGCCCTATTTTGCATAGACATGGGCCCAGATAGAAACACCGTCAGAGGCCCCTGAAGCCAAGATTACCCAAGAAATGGAAGCCGCATGTGCCTATTCTGGAGTCTGTACCTTTAGACTTCGGTTCTTATCATGCCTCTTCACAGTTCATCCCTCTCAGAAGCCCACTTTTAATAAGGACCCACATTCTGTTCCTGGACCGTGCACCAAGGGGCCTCCTTCCAACCATGTTCCATGTCCAAAGGGATCTATTTTGTCTAAAGGGCTTGAGTGAATCTGAGTACACACTTCCTGAGCTGAGCCTTGGCCCTGCGACACTGTCTTGTCTTGATTCTGAGCCAGAGAAGTCCTTGGTAGCATCAGAGTCCATTTTTTCTCAACCTGAGGCCCCAAGCATGCCTAGGTGTAGAAAGAGACAGAAGCCAATGGCTCGTTCGTGTGGTGGTGTCTGTATTCTCCATTCTTTTGCTCCCACAAATCTTGGTGTTGATAACACCTGTGTTCTCAGTGCTACCTCACATGTGTCAGAATCCATCTCTGTCAGGGGACACTAGGCCCCCTTTGTGTGTTCTGGAATGTTCTCGTGCCATTACACTCCAGCTGCAATGGTTTGTCCAATAATAGTTAACTGTCCTCCTCCTCTGGGATTTCAGACCAGTGACATGTACTTTTCCTCGCCCCTCAACAGGTCCAGCCGACTCTCTTGTGCCCAAGGATAACGGTAAAGTCATCTTCCCTCCTGGGGTCTGAAGCTGATTGGGGAAGGAACTAAGAAAGTAGCTGAGTGGAGAGAAAAAGCAGGCTATGAGGGAGGCCCACTTCCTAGACAGCAGGAGGTCGGGGAAGAGGCCCCTCTGTACTCAGGCTCTCTCCGTTTTTGCTCTGACTCTTCCTCTAGCTTACCTCTGTGCAAAGGTCCAGACAGATACACATTCAGACTGAGCATGTCAAGGGTTGTCCTTTAACCCCCTGGACCAGGCTCTGACTTGTGTCCTATGGAGTATGGATTCTAAGCAGAATTCCCTATTGATGTGGCCCAACTTCAAAGCCTTTTTTTTTTTTTTTTGAGAATATTAGCAAAGCCAATCAAAGTCAGGGCTGTGGAGATGCCTCTGTTGGTAAAGTATTTACTGTGCAAGCCTGAGGACTTGTTTGACCCTGAGCACCCACATAAAAGCCAGGCACAGTTGTACCCATCTATGTTCTCAGCACTGGGAAGGTGGAGACCGGAGGAGGATCCTGGGGCTTCCTGACCAGCCGGTCTAACCAAACCAGCAAGCTCCAGGTTAAATAAGAGACCTTGTCTCAAACAATAAAGTCGACAGTCATCAAGGAAGATAGTCAACATTCACCTATGGCCTCCTCCATAAACATGTGTGAACACACACACACACACACACACACACACACACACACACACACACACACATACACACACCAGTGGACATCAAGCCAAGGTGATAAATTAGAGTAAATTAGTGATTCTCAATCTTGCTAATGCTGAGACCCTTTAATACAGGTCCTCATGTTGTGGTGACCCCCAACCATAAAGTTATTTTGCTGCTACTTCATAGCTGTAATTTTGTTACTGTTAGGAATTGTAATGTGGATATCTGATATGTGACCCCAAAGGGATTGCGATCCACAGTTAAGAATCGCTGGAGTCAGGGATGCTGAGGCAGGTCCACCCCATCCCAGAGCATGTCCGTGGTACTTGTGTAACAGACAGACAGCTCCTGAGCTACACGTAGGAGTACCAGCTTCTCTCCCTCTCTCTCTCCTTCAGCTCAGCTGTCTTGTTTGCCTCACCTCTTCCAAGCCGTCATTGACCGAGGCTATCTCCGGAGATTAGGCTACTCCTCCTGGGACATCCACTTAAATGATAAGATGTGTCGCCCCCAAGTCACCGGGCGTTACCTCATCTTCAATATTCCTTATGGCCACTGTGGCACCATGAGGCAGGTAAGAGGCTGACAGGGAGGTGATGACCTTCTATGGATGGAGTCCAAGAAGAGAGGCTTAGAAAATGAAACTGCCTGTTAAAACCTGTGTAAGATAGAGGAAGAGCTTCATTTCTGAAGCAGCTCATTGATTTGTCTGAAATGCCCCACCACTTGGAGAATTTCAGACACACACTCATCCCGAGATGATCCATAACAAAGGTTGAGTACAGGGACATGGATAGTGTGTTGAGTGTGATGGATAGATGAATGATGAATGGGCTGATAATATTCTCCCAGTTCCAAAGCCAGCATTTGTCATAACGCACTTCTTGACTGAACGTGAGGGCAATATATCTCCCATGAGCAAGTGATGGTGCTGGGGATGAGGGAGGACAGGTTGTCTGTCTGTCTGCTATGTCTCTAACTAAGCAGCCAGTCATAGTCCACACTAGAGAAAGCAAACATCTAGGATATTCAGGAGTCACTAAATACATGTGTCTATTTAATTCTCTGCAACCACCTTCTTATCTCATGAAACAATGGTATGGAAATTAAGGACACTCATGTGTATACATGAAGGAAATGTTCCACCATGACACCCTTCTCAGTATAGTTGGAAGTGGCACAATTCAAAAATGACCCTGCTGCTGTATTCCTGCTTCCCTGTTTGTACATATGCAAAAGGCTCACATGACACTGTGGAGGTCATATTCATTCAAACCGACCACATGATGCAGCTAACATAAGCCCTCGAATGCCACACTTCCATTTTGTCTGCTGTTTGGTTGTATAGATCATGGCCATTTTTATCCTTTTTGCTCTGAATATTGCACTTCTTAACTGAGAGATTTCTGCCCCTGGAGCCAAGCCAGCAGGTCCCTCTGTCTAGGAGGAAGGTGGCCCCCGGCAGAGAGTCTCTGGATCTGAGACACACATGCTTCAGAAACGTCCCTGGCCAGGCTGTGCCTCCGGGCATCCACATGGGGCATTTGAAGAGGTACAGGTGGTAGCTCCTGCCCATCATGCTGTCCATCCCACTTCTGACCTGTATGTTCTGCTGGAAGTGACATGCACTGGGTATAAGCAAGAAGCATGGCTAGTGGCCCAGGCTGACAGTGTCAGGCCTGCAGCTCACCTGCAGCCAAACCTAGCTTGAGATCAAGGGCAGAGAAGATACAAGATCCAAGTTGGAGATGGTCAGGGGGGTGGGATGCCAGTGGGAATTTAATGTGTGGAGGAATTCAAAAGAGAGGGAGCTCCAGATAGACACAGTGGACCTGCCACCCCGCTCAAAGCTCTACAGATTGGCTGTTACAGGAGGGAAGGAGTGGTCCTCACTCAAGGGACACCCTCCCCCCACAGACACCTCCTGATGTTACCGCAGTGGTCCAGCCAGGGACTCCAGCTCTCCAGTATGTCATGAAGCTGGTACCTGGCACATATTGGAAGGAAAGAACTCTACCGTAGAGAAAGGGAAGTTATCAAGGCACCAGGTACACTACCTGCCAATTCTCTCATCTTCACAGGAGCATCAAGGCTCTCTCAGCTACTCTAACTCCATCAGAGGCAGAACGCAAGGCCACCCTGGCCGAGTCATTGTGAGGCACAGGGTGCCCCAGGTGAAGTTCACCTGCAAAGTGGATGGCCAGTCTGCAGTTGAAATTGTGCATGGGAGTGACACACAGAAGGATGATGTCAGCTATGATGTGTCGATTTCATTCCTCCAGTCACCTGTATCTCAGGATATGGGGGTTGGAGCTCCTGCTTATACCCGTCAGAGGGAAGAGGTCTTCCTCCAGGCCACCCTCCACAGCCACGATCCCAATCTGAGGCTCGTTGTGGACACCTGTGTGGCTTCTCCTGACTCCAGTGATTTCACAACTGTCAAGTATGATTTGATCCAGGAAGGGTAAGGAACATGGAACCTCTCCTTCCTAGTTGATGTTAAATGTGCATGCTGTTTCTCTGGGGAACCTGGAGTTTCTGAACCTGGAATCCTAAGTCAGAAGGATGTAAGGTGTCTCTACCAAGCCTCTGTTCACAGTGGGAAATACAGCAGCCTAGACAACCTCCTTTGACTCCTCAGAGACCCCATTCAGTACTTTGCTGCCCCACCCCACTCTTTCTTGCCTAATCCTCCCTTCCTTTCTAGCTTCCCTCTCCTAGGACAGACATTCAACACTTTGGCTCACACCCATAGGTCAATGTGTTTTCCCAAAGTAAGCTCTTAGTTGAACTAGCCAGATGTCTTCAAGCTTGTTTGGTTCACCAACTCACTTGCCAAGTGAGAACCTTGGCACGTTGTTTGCCTCTGTGGCTCCTTCCTTTCTTATCGTGGGCTGTTGCATTGCTTTCTCTGGGGAACATACACAAATGTCTATTTGCTCCAGATAGCATGAAGGACAACACCCCCAAATAATAATTTCATCCAAGCCCAGCTTGGGGAACCGGTAAGTTCTCTGGGCTTATTTGCAGAAGCATGAGTAAGGAGCTGCATAGGTGACCCCAAGTGTGCCACCCCAGCATGGATGACATATCCCTGTGCATGCTGCTGAACCGATGGAGCCCCCTTCAGGAGCCCCTCTTACATACTCTAGTGCTCCTGAGTTCACATGCAGCTGGGGTTGGGCAGGAGGGAGTGGCTGGGATCAGCTCAGGCGCTAACAACCTTTCCACTAACAATTCCTTCCCTGTATGAAGGAATCTTAATGGCCTGGCGTGGGGGTCTCCTGAATACGGCTAATCCCAGCTGCTCTGCTTTCGAGTTGGCAGTGGTCATGCCTGGAGGACAGGGGCTAAATGTTCATGAAGGAGTAACTGGCAACTAGTTAAGAAATCCATTATTTACTCAGTGACAGTTTTAGTATGGTAAGAGCCACAGAAGTCTTAAGCCCATGGGGAACAGTGAGGTACCTGATATCAGAGATCAACAGAGGAGCAAGACAGCACCTGCCACAGGTTTCTGTGAGCTGTGGCATGAGATGCATAGACTGGAGGGAGCTCTAGAGGGAGAAGTTGCTTCCATTCTGACCCTTGTTATGATCACATTATTAAGGTGAGAAGTTGAGCTAGGTGTCATTTTCACAGCTAGCATGCTGTTCTTCTTGCTTTAGGCTTAATTTGATTCCTTTTCTCTAGTCTTTAAAACTTTTGTCGATCAGACATCTTTACAAATTATAGGCATTTTAATACTATAAACCCCTCCCCAAATATTGCCTTAGCTGCATCCCACAAATTTTGAGTTGGGTATTGTATTATTTACTTTTCTATTGCCGTGACAAAGCATCATGACCAAGGCAACTTATAAAAGAAAATATTTAGTTTGGCTTATGGTTTTAGAGGGTTAGGGTCCATGATGGCCGACCGAAGGAATGTGGCAGGAAAAGGGGAGAGCTCACATCTTGATTCAAAAGTAGGAGTCAGAAAGAGGATGTTGGGAGTGGCACTAGTCTCTTGAAACCTCAAAGCCCACCCCCAGTGATACACATCCTCTCACAAGGCTTCCCAAACAGTTCCACCAACCGGGGACCAAGTATTCAAAAATGACCCTCTATGAATTATTCTCATTCAACCACCACACATATCATTTTCAACTCATTCAACAGTCTCAAATTTCTCTTAGGACATTTTGATACAACAGTTAGCTGAAAGTACACTGTTTACTTTTTAGTGTTTGGGAACTTTCCAGAAAGATGGCTGCCATTAATTTCAAGTTTAATCCCAGTGCTACCTGAGCACGTATTTCTATCCTTTTATGACTATTAAAGCATTTCTTATGGCCTAGAATATAGTCTGTCCTAATGAATGTTCTTCCTGGACTTGAGAAGAATCTGTATTCTGCTGTTGTTGGATAAACTGTTTAATTACTGTCAACAAGTTCTGGTAGATTAATAGTGTTCCTTATGTCGTTTGCACCCTTACCAACTTTCTGCCCACTGACCTGATCAGTCAATAGAGGGATATTGAAGCATCCGATTATCATAGTGGGTTTGTCCGTATCTTACTGCAGTACTTTGCCTCCCACGTTTTAATGCTCTGCTTGATGGTGCATTACATGAATGATTATTATATTTGGATAAAGATTATTCCTTCCTTTAATTATCTTGGTTAAGGTTCTTTTCATAGATAGCTGAGCCTTTTGTTGTTGTTGTTGTTGTAAAACACCCATCTTGACCCTGACAATTCTGCTCTCTCTGAACCGCTGCTGTACTGTTCTCCATTCCATTTTCAATGTATTGGTGTCTTTATATTTACAGTGACTATCCTGTAAAGAACATATAGTCAGATGTTTTGTGTATTCCTTTGTAATATATTCTCTGTCTTTATATTGGTGTAAATATGAACCATTCGTATTTAACGTTCTTATCCAAGCAGTTAGATTAGAATTCACCACTCATTCATTGCATTTGTCTTTTGTCATTCCCTGCCCTGTGCCCACCCCTTTTCTGACTTCTCTGATTCTTTTTTTTGTTTTGTTTTGTTTTGTTTTATTCGAGACAGGGTTTCTCTGTGCAGCTTTGCTCCTTCCTGGAGCTCACTTGGTAGCCCAGGCTGGCCTCGAACTCACAGAGATCAGCCTGGCTCTGCCTCCCGAGTGCTGGGATTAAAGGCGTGCGCCACCACCGCCCGGCAAAGAAAGTCCGACCACAACAGAATGTGGGGATATGAGACATTTTTTTTTTTTCAGAGCTGATGACTGAACCCAGGGCCTTGCGCTTGCTAGGCAAGTGCTCTACCACTGAGCTAAATCCCCAACCCCTCTCTGATTCTTTTTAACTGCACATTTTACATAACTACCTTTTATCTCCTCTTGATGTACCACTTATATCACTCTATGGTTTACAATATGCTTTCTTTGGGTAGTGTTGGGAATTGAACTCAGGACATTGGGAGTGCTAGATAGCCAAACACTCATCCACTGACCTGCATTACCAGTCCCATGATACACTTTTTAAATAATCTAGGTGCATTTTTAAATATAGCATCTACCTTATAACCTTCCCTTTAGACAAACTAGGATAGACCTAGCAAGCAAAGGTTGCAGCTAAAACCTTGACCTGTTTTCACTGTATTTGACAATTCCCTTCTGTTTATGACCAGGTATAGGGTTTCCATTAACAATGCTGTTAAACTGCAGTAGTAATCGTAGTATAGTAGTAGTAGTTGTAGCTTCATAAAAGGGAGGGTAGTGGGAAGAGCTCCACTTGAGATTCAAAGCCTTAGAACCGAGCCTGGTTATGTGGGTTGGAAAAAACTCATAGAATGGATTAGTTAACTTTTTAGGCCTGGGTTTTTCTCCCATCAGGTGCATCCGAGACAACTCCTACTCCAACCTCCATGCCCCTGGGAAGAACGTGGCCCAGTTCAAGTTCAACGCCTTCAGCTTCCTCAAAAGCTACGATGTGGTCTACCTGCAGTGTAAGGTTGCCGTTTGCCGAATCGGGGACCACTCTCCCCGATGCTCACAAGGCTGTACAAAGCGAGGGAGGAGAGGCGCGGGCTCTGCAGAGGCCAGGGAAGAACAAACTGAGTATTTCCGAACGGTGGGGCCGCTGAAGATCCACAGAGCAGATAATCAGAGCAGGGCCCTGGTGTGATCGCTCGCTCTCACTCTCCCATGAGTGTGTCGGAAAACCGGAAGCAAGGTCTGTTTCTTACCAGGAAGCAATGTTTAGTCACTCCGAAGCCAGACATTGACCATACCATCTGCACTACCCATTCAGATGGGTGGAAGAACCCAAGAGATTGCTTCTCTGGGGCTTGTTACTAAGTAATCTCTGAGCACTAACTTCTAATGCAGTTGCCCTGTTTGTAGGAAAGAAAAAGAAAAAAATGCTGATTTTTTTATTCTTCACTCTCAAGAACTTGATCACTGTCTCAAAATGCACAAAATATTAGAAAAAGCAGGGTTGTCTCTCTTTACACTGTGGGCAATTAGAGATTGTTTATAAATGTCTACTTACTATTTGGGTGCTGATAGGTGGGTGGGCCTCTTTCTGTTCTTCTGGAAATGTGAGAATTCATTTCTAGATCTTGCCAGTAATCTTGTAAAAAATAATAATAATAATAAAGTGTTTTCTGGGAAACCACTGTTCATTTTCTTTAAACTCTTTTAAGCAGAACAGCTGAACGACACAAGTCATTGGTGACAACTTTCAGAAAGTTTCTTTGCTCAGTTGTTTTGTTTTGAAGGGGACAAATCAGAGCCTAGCTTCTAAGGGTCTGGCTTTCAGAATCATCAGAAGCCAGAGGCCTCTGTGTGAACTCCACTTTAGCTTCTGGGGGTCTAGATTTCAGCTTGCAAATGGGAGAATAGTATCATAAGAAGCCAGGGGCTTCTCTGTGAGCTCCACATGTGCACACGGTCACATTCTCAAAACATCTGGGAAACCTGAAAATTACCCAGGAAAGCTGCAGAGCAAACAGGAACCGGTCTGTAATGTTCTGTTCCTGAAGCAGAGGGCTGCCCTCACCTTGATCTCCCTGTGTCCTGGAAGGAGAGGCAGGCAGTATTGCACTCAGGACCTTCAAAGTGGTCACTTGGTTTTGCTGTACCTTTTGAGACAAGGTCTCACTGCCTAGCCCGGGTTGTCTTTGAACATGTGATCCTGCTCAGCACATTCTCTTTAAGAACACAGATTTGAACAGAATCAATGGTTTTGTTCTTTCCAGTGTCCAGAAACATTCAGTAGAAATATTTAAAATGAGTCCTCATCTTTGTCCAAGAAATTGTTTCAGGCTCTGCTGACAAGGAGCATGTAAGAAGGAAGAGTACGGTAGTCCTACCTTCTGAAGGGAGGAAGGCAGTCTAGTGGGACCTGGAGGCTAACTCTGAGGTACTGAGGTAGAAATGTGACTAACAACTCACATTACCTTAGGGACCATTTCATTTTGATTACAAAATGTCCTGTCCCAGTTATCATCCCGATGAGAGTGAGGGCCCTTGCCTCCATCCTCTACCAGGACAGGAAGATTTCAGAGAAGGCAGAATGGAGTTTGAGGTGCTCATCACCTGTAGCCAGCAGTGAGGCCTCATCCGCACCCACCAGAGCTGACCAGTGGGGAGCCTGGACTCCACTCCCACTCCTGTTTAGGAAGGAACTGGAATCCTTTCATTTTAAGGCAGGCCCAGTGGAGAGCCAGGGTTGAGGTGACCACCTCAGGGGAGCAGAGAACACCAGGTAGGCTAGACCACCCCTGCCCCTCTGAGTGGAATTTGCCTGGTATTCCATGCCCATCCCTTTGCTTTCAGCCTCTCTGAAATGCTTGGTTAAGTGCCCCTCCTGAATAAAGCTTAGGAGCAGATTTTGCTTTGGACGACATTCTGAAAGCCATGTTTTAGGAAGTAAAGTTAGTAGGTAGGTGCCCAGAGGTGACATCGAACACTTCTCAAATAGAGGTACTCATTCCCTAGGCTTCTGGGCGTGCTGCTAGCGAGGGGCTCAGCACCACTGTTCCCCGGGAATTTCTATAAGGACGGCTACCCTGTCCAAGTTCACAGCTCCATTTGAGCAGCCCTTATCCAAAGATGGCTCTTCACCAGTGGGGAATGGAGCTCGGATGCCCCTGGTTGCTAAGAAATTCTCTCCTTCCTTGACCATATTCCCAGATGATACTAACACTAACTCCTATGTTCAGTTGTAGAGACAGAGGGTAAAGGTACAGTACATCTAAACAGGAAAGAGGTAAGGACATTTCCTAGCCCACCAACTCCAGGACATGGACCTTTGATCCCTTTACTATAGTAACCATGACTCTACTCTCTATTGAGTCACGGTGCGTGATAATTTTCTTAGAATGGCATATTCGTGCCTGGAGTGTCTCTGAATATCTATCACGATGGCCAGCACAGAACATGTAATCAATTCCTGATAACGAGATGGGTGACAGGCAGCAGCCAGACCAGGCAGTTGTGCTGTCACGGGAAGTTAATGTGAGGCTGGGGAGGGGCCGCCACAGTTTCACAGTGCTTGCTGCTCTTGCAGAGGACCCAAGTTCAGCTCCCAGCACCCACAGGGCAGCTCACAACTGTCTGGCTCCAGTTCCAGGAGATCCAATACCCTCTTAGCCTCCCCAGGCACCAGCACATGTGTGGCACACATACATATATGCAGACAAAATATGCACACGTGTGAAATAAAAATAAATCTTTTTAAAAACTTCAATATGATCTGCCTATGACTAGTGAAATTTTCAGGTGTTTTTATGTTATATTAAAAAGGAGTTTGTGGTAGTGAGATTTAGATTATATGGATGGACAGAGAAGAGAGTCATTATATGAATATTTGGGAAGCCTTTGAAAGATCTGCACTAAGATGTTAAGTAAATGAGGAATATTGGCTTTGATTTAGGGCAGGAAAAATCAGCAGGCTTGGAAGGACTGGGGTAGTGTCTCCTATATCCATTGTATGTCAGTGGATTCCCTATAATACGTGGTGCACATGATACATATTTATAGAAGAAAAACATAACAAAAAACAAAAAGAAGCAAATGCCTTTGGCATTCCGGGATGCAGCTACCTGTTGAGATCTACCTGGAACGCAAAAGTATGTGTTTGTTTGCTGGCAAGATGGGGCTGTATTTCTTTTGTGTGTGTGTAACGTATTAGCTCTGGTATTGGCGGGTATAAAGTAGTTCATTTTAGGGCCTTCAATAACATCTGCTCAAACCCACAGGAAAGAGAAGAGGAATGCTTTTCATCTTATAACTCAGAAAGCAGTCTGAAGTCTCACCATTGGGTTCTTCCCACCAAAGCCCCCTTGTGAGCTGCACAGGGTGAGGCACTCAGGCTGCATGCCAGCAGTGGACTGAGGAGCCCACAACCCTTCACTTCAGTTCCAAGTGATCACTTTTATCATCCAAAGGGTACCATATATGCATTACTCTTTGACTTTTATAGATGACACATTTTATTTAGCATCTAAAAAAGAAACTGAGTTGGATGTAGTGCCTCACACTTTTAGTCCCAGCCCTGGAGATACAGAGACAGGGTCTCTGTAAATTCAAGGCCAGCCTGGTCTACATAGCAAGTTCCAGGCCAGTCAGAGTTCCATAGTGAGACCTTTTCCAAAAAAAAGGTGACCAGACATAATGTTTATTCATTTCAGCCATCCCATAATGAAATACACTATTACCATGATATGAACATGAAAGTATTGTGTTGCCTTTTCAGGCCTTCCTGGTTTATTCCTGACCCTTGTTTAAGCATGAGGAGCGGCTTCATCTAGCATCCATGAGAAGGCAGGGGTCTTCTTAGGGTCAGAGCTAGTAGACCTGCAGCTTCTGGTATCTGTGCTCCAGCCGTCGGTTTACAAAATGCCTCACTGTGGCTGCGGCCACAATCACCACATTGAGAGCAAGAACCATGAAGGAAAAGAGGTGTAGCTGGCTGAGAGGTTGGTTTGGAGTTTCTGCTGTGTGTGTTTGAGGCAGAAGTCCTGGAATCGGAAATAGTTTTAGTATTAGTATTACCAAATTTTGGCAGTATTTATAATTTCATATTATGCCCTATGATATGCATGAATCAATAATATGCAATTTCAACTTAAGAGAGGGGGACAATTCTCAAACAATCTGAATTCATTATATTTATGTTTTATCCTAGGCCATTTAACTCTGGGCTGTCTTTTGAGTCTTTCCTATACAGACTATCAGGTTTCAACATGCCTAGAAGTAAGTAGGTTGTCCTGTGTTAATATTGTCTATGGTGAAAAGATAACCTTTTTTCCCAAATAGGCTCTGATGTGGGCACTGGTTAACTTTGTTCCTCATTGAGAAGTTAAAATAGATTCTTTCTAGTTTGGTTATCTGCTTAGACATCTGTAACAAGGAACTGGGACGCTGACAGAAAGTTGTCTCTAGAGATGGGGATAGTATCCATGAACTCTTAAAGGCCACACTAACGGCATAGCACCAGTGTGTGATGGATTATAGACGCATATATGATATACGTGATGGAAGTATTCATCTTGTGTACTTAGTCACTTGTCTGCTAAAACTTCTACTTTAAATCTCTAAACTGCACATCTCAGGAACAACAGATTTGAGCCACATTTTACGAGCCACAAGATAAACTTAGATCATGAACAGCGTATTCTTGCCTGAGTTTCCACTTGCACTTCGGTCCCTCTTCAGACGAATTGGTCCTATGACAGAGTCAGTCTTCCACTTGTATGAAGAAACATCTCGTTTCCTTCTTGAGACACAGCCTTGATTGCAGCGGGATGTTTCGTCGCTGGTATCACAGATCAAAATCTTACACTTCAGATACACCGAGCTCAGATGCCTCAAGAATTTAAAAGCATTAAACTGGAATCTTCCATAGTGTCCAAGTAAGGGATACACCTGACAAGTCTCATCTTGACTACATCTGGAACACAATTTAGGGACAGTTAGAAGGTACACGGCAGCTTTTCCATGTGAAAGTGACATGATACAAGCTTTGAGGTGTTCAATGTGTGAGCCCAGGAACCTCTCTAGAGAGACATCAGTGGTTCAGAGTGTTGTAAGCTTGAGAGGTGGGAAAGGTAATAAGGTCCTGCTCTTATCTGAGGTTCCTGGCCCGTGAGCTACCAGAACATCAGCACCTATATGGGGCTCAAACACCTCTCCTAAAGTGCTCAGTATTGATGCGCAAGTACAGCTGATTGCCCATCAACTTTTAGAGGAAAAAGGAGCATCTCTTTTAAAACATCACGTGCTTTTTCTTTTAAAAAAAAAGTTACATCTATTTTCTTAAGAATGTCATGTTCAAAGGATGGCACACATTTTAGAACCTTCCATGTCCTTGTAAAAAATAGCCAAAATATACAAAAAGCAAAACCACAAGTAGACCCCCGCTAGACAAAACATAAGTAGGTTTTTCCCCACCAACAAATATTTTATATTCATAGTTTTAAATCAAGAAATACAGATGGCCTATCTAAATATTTTAACATGAGTTATTTGTGGCTAGTACACGGTAACAATTTTTAAATGATTAAGCTTATTAAAATTCCATACAAGGAAATTTTTATACACACACACACACACACACACACACACACACACACACACACTGAGTGTTTATAAATA